TCTGAGTCTATAAGATCAAACCCCTCTACTCTGCCAGCTGTATCCATCCTTTTTGCTTTGCAACACAGAGTATGAACCCCGTTTTTCCTCTCTGCTCTCCAACCCCCTTCAACACGAGGCACACGGAGCAGGACAGCCAAACGCTGAGTGGCCTTTTCTTCTCAATCACTCTCTGAAAGTCACTGTGAAACGCGATGCCATGTGGAAAGTGGCTGGAAAGAATGACACTGCGAGAGCCTGTTTTTTTCCAAGGAAATAAATAGATTGTGTGCCACGAGCACGGAGAGGAGAGGGCTTGTGCCAGATCATGCACAGGTAGGGCCATGCAGGGACAGCTCAGAGTTTGTTTGAGCTGCAGTCAGCACCTCTTAGGAAGATTTTGCTGGGCAGAAGCACATGGGACAGTCTCTGGTGGTGCCACCAAGGTGGCAGCCTGCAGGTGGCAGCTGTTTCAGGTTGTCTGCAGCATCCCTGGACATGCAAACTATTTGCAAGGGGGTCATGCAACTTGGTGAAGAAAAACAAGCTACTGCACACTGTGCATGTAGGAACCCAGAACCGGGGGGAGCCTGACCACCTCTCAGCTGAAGAGGGGAGACTTAAATGCCCAAGGTGCTGGTGGGATGTCAGGCAAGCAGGAGCTCAAAGCCTGGCTCCAACATGGTTGCGGTGATGGCCTGGATTCAACTATTTCAAAGGGCACTGGACGGTCAAATCAAGCCCCAAATTTAAATTTGTTAAAATAACTTTTTGCAAAACATTAGGACGGAGAGAAATGTTTCCATGGTTTTGTTTTTAAATTCCAAGTGGGAAGAGTTTATTTTTTCACTAGGAAACTTTCCCCGTAGGATTCACAACGCTGGCCGGGAGACAAGAACCGGCGAGCTCCGCTCCTGAATGGAGGCGACCCCGAGGGTGACCCTGCGCTGGTCACGTCGCCTCGGGCAGCCTCAGTGGCCCCTTGGAAAAGGGAGGTGGCCACGTGCATGAGGCTGCAGAGGGGCTGGGGTGCCAGCAGGGCCGGCTGTCGTGCGCTCAGCCCGTGCCGAGCGAGATCTAAATCCAGACACGCCGTTGTGTTTGCTTGGAGGCAAATGCAATGAAAACTCTTACATTCCAAGCAGGTTAGGGGAAAATATGGGGAAATGAGCAACCTCCTTGGCTCTGTTGATGCACAAGTGTCTTCCAGGAGGATAGTGATGCTCTGTCCTTCAGCATCACTCTGCTCCTGCTGGATTGCTGCTGATCCAGAACGTACGAGCTTCCATTTGTTTGTTGCTTTATGCTGTCCTGAAAAGCAAAATATTACAGGGATTTATAAATTAACTGAAGGTAATAAAATAGGCAGGGGGGCTCATCTGGTTCCCCTCAGCTCAACACCCTGGAAAGCCCTTTGCCCCAGCTGAGAGCCCAAGTGCTGCTTTTTCTGCCCCCAGGTGACTGGGGAATCCACAGTGTTTAATGCAAAAATACACAGCAGTGAAACAGGGACTTGGTGAACATTGAGATGAGGGAAGAAGGGGAAAACAGAGCAGGTTGAGCTCCATTTGCTAAAACTGGAATAAAATAAAATACAAAAAAATAGCAATTTGAAATGCTTGTATCTTGCTCCTATCAAGAGAGCAGAGAATGAGCAGAGGGGCTCATTCTCATTTGTGATCAAAGACTTTGAGCTAATCCCATTTTATTCTCTACTCCCATATACTGCTCTGTGGTTGTGAGGTCATGGATGGCAGGTAACTCCTCTTGCTTTGCTCTCTGAGAGAAGTGAGGACTTGGCATTTTAGGATCTGGGATGTAATGAAAACTGATTGCTTAGACATGCCATTTCCAATGTGGCAGCTCAGCAGCTCAAGGGTTAATTGGGCTCGCTCCTTTGCAGCCTAGACATTGATATAAAGGCTTACCCAAAGGGGAAAGCTTGTTCTTAGCAAGGTGGGAGCTGCAGGTACAACAGCCCCTCCTGCTCACCTCTGCAGCCCCAGCTCTTCACACCTGGCTGGGGCAAGAAAAGCAGAAGGAGCTGTTTGTTATAGAACAACTCCCATGCATGGAGAACGCCTCCCCAGGCTTATAACACATCTTCCATCCCTGGGACACCTGGATACATTCAGCAAGACTTCCCCCAAGGGTAGGGCCAAAGGTGCAGTGCTCCTGGTACACAGCTCACCCACAGAACCTCACCCTGGTGGCCACGGCTGTGGAGCCACCGTGAAGCAGGGGAGCAGCCAAATGTGGCTGATGGAAATCGCTGCTGGGAATCACGGGAGGTGTGCCTTTGCTTTCTAAAGGGCTGTTAACACATTTAGGGTTAATCACACGGATAGATCTCGCCGTGGCTTGGAGCCAGTAAAAGCATGGATCCCCAGGCCTCCTGATGGGAATTGGCCAGGGCCAGGGCCCCCCATGCTCTCACCCAGTCGTTGGGAAGTAATCTGTGTACTCAGCACAGAGACACACAGACTCAGCACAGGGATTTTGTTCTGTGTCATCCCCCTCACACCCCCTGAAAGGTTCTTATCCAGGTGGAAACTCGAGTATCTTCCTATGCCAGGCAAGATGGCAAGGCAGAGCCCAGAGGACATAGGCAAAGGGCTGATCTGAGCTGCTTTTTCTCAGTGGTGGCTGCAGGAGCCATGGGGGCTGGATGGACCAGAGGTTGAGTCCCATTTCTGTCCCTTGACCTCCTTCAGGGACTTTGATTTATCAAAAATTATATACTTTAAGGAATGAGCTTCCCAAGGAGGGAAAAACCTTGAACTTCAAGCCCTGCTGAGCGTAGGAAGGCATTTAGAGAGACTGATCAGTGGGCCTGGTGAAAGAGGGTCTGGGGGGCATGTGGGTTTTTCATCAGCTTTATTTTGTACAGACACCACCAGGAAATCCATAGCAGGTGTGTATATGTTTGAGGGACACAGGCAGGGCTGCTTCAGATGAAACATCCCAGGGAACTGAGCTATGTCCCCATCTCATGTCCCATGTTTTAACTGGACATGGTGGGAGAAGAAAGTGCTTGGGGCAGGCTGGAAAATTAATTTTAAGAGACTTGACTGAAGCAGCACCCTGTCTCTCTCCTTCTCCCAGAGTGGTCTCCCAGCCTCTGCACATACCACCAGGCACTGACCTGGGCTGTTCAGCATCAAAAAAGCGTTTTACAAGTCAAGTCTTGGTGTTCTCTTAGTGGAGAAATCAGCAAAGACAGCCAATGTGAACATGTGTCCCAGGGGATGCAGCAGAGAGAGGGGGTCTGGGTGGACAGGCCAGCAGAACAGAGGGAAGCTGTTTCCCCAGCACTTTGGAGACTGGCTTCTCCTCTTACTCCTCTCCCTGACTCCAAACCTTGTTGTCAGGAGGCTCAAGGAGGGCAAAGGGACTGTATGCACCGAGCCCCCTCTGCTGCCTCCCTCCCTTTAACCTTGTGGAAGGTGACTGGTGGCCCTTTGCAGGGAGCTCACTGCCACCCACCTGAATTTCCACACGCTTGCAGGGGCTCGACTGACTCCTTGTGATTCATTCTAATGTGGCACAAAGCAGCAGCTTGCTGCAGCCTGATGTGGAACACCCACATACGCTCACATTATATAATATCAATCTAAGCAGATTAAATTATCCGGTCTGAGGAAACACATGCACGTAGGGATGTACACACTCATACACAGTCTGGAGGGTAGATCAGTGGAGCTGAGGGCAAAGCTTTCCTCCAGACACACTGAACTTGTGCTTTTTTAGCACTTAAAAACTGGGGCAAATAGCACATATTTGCCCGTGCATAGACAGGTGTGTGAAGCACAGCAGCAGCTGAGTGTTCTCCGTTTGAGGGAAACACGAGAAGCGTTTGTAAGTGTGTGCTTGGTTATCCACTGTGTTGGCAAAATCTGAGCAGCAGCATGGAGCAACAGGTGGAATCCAAACAGTGCCGGCACTAAACTTCACCTGTCAGCGTATGGCAACATCCCTGGGAAAGCAAACAGAGGGGGGAACTGTCCCCGAAAGCCGTGAGCATCTCTCAGCAGCCTTGGAGAGCCCGGCCCATCCTGTGGCATGTGCCTCGGGGCACAGCCCGCTCCTCGGGCGGCACAAACACCAGCAGATCGATGCACAAAGTCGGGAGTCATGCTGAGCTTGGGATGCCCAGGCCTTGTGCCAAAAGATGCACTTTGCCTTCCAGAAGTTTCATGTTGGGAGGGGAATGCAGGAAATGTGCTTCACCTACAGCTGCCCACGGTGCTCACGCTGCCCGGGCAGCGAATGGATTTGCCTCTCCCTCTGCTCTTGCGCCTTCCCGTCATTGATTCACATTATTTTGCTAAATATAACGCGGTCCCTTAAAGCTGCTCACTCAGCTTTTACCCCCGCCGGCGGTGCAGGGCACGGAAGGTGCTGGCGGAGCGGGGCTGGGCGGCCGCTGCCGCTTCTGGGCACCTGCCGTCCCTGCCCGTGTCCCCGGCCACCACCGCCACGAAGGGGCCGCGTTTGATACCCGCTCCGCTCCGCGAGACCCAGCGCCAGCCGCGGTGATGCTCTGGGTGCCGCCGGTGCGGTACCGGCAGCAGAGCCGGGGGGCCGCACCCCGCCTCGGCCCGGGCCGGAACAGCGGGAACACACCGCTCTGACCTCTCTGCACTGGGAACGCCCGGCACGGGGTGGCCGTGGCCCCCGCCACCCGCTCGCGGGGACATGGGGGACGGACGGACAGACGGACACCCCCCACACCTTCCCCCCCCCGCGGGCAGCGCCGAGGCCATTCATGAAAAAGTTGACGTCAGGCGGGTGGGCGGGGCTGGGGCCAGGCCACGCCCCCCGGGGCCATTTAAGGCGGCGCGGCGGCCGGCGCGGGGCTCAGCGCGGAGGCGGCGGCCGAGGGGTGAAGGAGCCCGGTCGGTTCCCTGGCAGCGTCGCGCATCCTCCCGCAGCGCCTGGGTGCCCCTTCAGCCACCCCGTGCCCGGGGCAGCCTCTGCTGGGACTTCATGTCTGTGCTGTGTCCCCTGCCCTGGTGAGTGGGCGCTTCCCGCGGGGAGCGGGCGGGCGGGGGGACGCTTGAGGCCGAGCCCCTTCAGCCGCCCGTGTCCCCTCATCCCGCCTCAGCCGCCCCGGGATGAGGCGAGGCGGCGGGACGGCGAGGGGCCCCGGGGAGCGGTTCGGGGCCGGCGGCCGGTGGTGGCGGTTCCCCGGCGGCCGGTGCGAGGCGGGCGGTAGCGGGACGAGTGAGCCGCTGCGGGGGGGAGTTCGCTACACTTTCTCGCGCTGGAAATTCCATTAAAGCTGAAAGAGCCGAGCTGGAATTGGCGCCGCGCGCTCCGCTGGCGTGGGAGTCCCTGAGGTTGTAAAACAAGTCAGTGGGAGCTAAAGCGCACCGGCTTGAGAAATAAAATAAAATTAAAAAAAAAAGTGAAAGAAAAACCAAGCCCCCCGCGCTTGCACTTTATTTACTGTGGTTTTTTACTTCCCCCCTCCCCGCGGGGCAGAGCTGGAGGAAGCGGGGTTGAAAGCGAAGCGCTGCTGCCGGAGTGTCTCCGGGTGTGCTGGAGCTGGGCTCCTGGGGGGAAAGCCGGGGAGGTGCTCCCAGGGCATTGGATGTAGCTCCAGCTTACGAGGTACTGAGCTTTTTCCGCTGCCTTCCAAGGGGGGGCAGGAAGGAAGGGACCAGAAATAGACTGCCTACAGCCTCTGCTGCTCGCTTCGCCGCTTGAATCGTGCTCGGTCCTGCCGGAGCCCCTCAGATCACTGGAATGCTGTCTTTTGTCTCTAGCTCTGATTATCTGAGATCCGCTGAAATGACTGAAGTGATGATGAACACCCCAGCCATGGATGAGATCGGACTAAGCCCCCGCAAGGATGGGCTGTCGTATCAGGTAAGTGTTTGGCTGGCAGTTGAGGCACTAATCCCGTGTGGAATTGCCTGGGCTAGACTGTTAAGCTTGGTCTAACGCACGTTTCCATAGCCTGACCTAATAGCAGGTCTTGCAGTAGTGAGAACTAGTCAACAGACTGGAATGCTTGCTTGGCAGGAGATGGTTGTCTAAAATATCACTCGCTATCAGTGCGGGTTGGCAGAGGATTCAATTGTTTTGAAGTGACCGAGCCCCTGCTCATTCAGCATTCCCGGGGCTCAGTGGGAGATGGGTTAAAGAAGGATTCATGGCACTCACTGGGCTGAGAGGGCTCATGAGATCTTTGTAACACAGCATACAGCTGATCTGCTGAGAGCAGGAGGATGCTGTTTATATGGTATCCACATTTTTTTGATCTAGTTCTTGATTTTCCTGACTGATGTGCCCATTTGAAAGGGTTAACAATCCTCTGTAAAGAGACAGTGAGGCCAGACACAGCCTAAATGAGCCGTGAAATGTCACTGGAGATTTCGGTACCAGGAGGCACGAGTTGCATTCATTCTGAAACTTCTGAACAATGTAGTTAGCTATTAATCTCTAGATCAATGAAGAAGTGGTCTGCAGCTAGATTTAGTCTTAACATCCCTTTCTTTCCTAGCCTGTAGTTAATCAAAGCTCAAGTTAGGCACCTTAGCTTCCCAGCTCCATGGTTTTCTTCACTTCCAGGAGGCTCGGTGATGAGCTCTGACACAGATGCTGAATGCTGGCAGACGACTTGCATCTGCTCTGTGTGTTGGGTGTCTCTTACCAGCATATCCAGATGCAGGCTTTGTCCTTGGCAGATGTTACACAATCTGCACGGAGGCATTTGCTCCAAGTGTGCATTCAGATGAGGTGCTGAATGTTTGTCTGAAAAGGGAACTACAAGGCAGCAGCAGTGCATGGGAGCATGAAATCGACTGAACTTTGGGCCACCACTGAGGCCTCCAGCAGAAGGCATAGCTATGTGGAGGAAAAGGGGATGCATTCCTTCTTTTAGTCAGGATTCTGGCTCTGGAAAATGCAAGTTGTTTGGTTTATAGCTGTGCTTCAGTACTTGAGCTAGTGGGGAGTGTACAGCCTCTCTTTCCTCTCTTACAGAGTGCAGAGGCAATGGCAATTGTTAAATCTGAAGCAATCAAAGTCACCTGCATGGGCTGCCTTTATGGGTCACCTTATGAAAAGGCTTAACCCAGTCAGGTCAAATGCCTCAATCTACCCATCCGAATTCCTAGGGAGAGGCAGAATCTAGGTGCCCTGCTTGTTCTAATGATCTCTTCAGTCAGGTTCTTCCCCAAGTGCTAATGACCTTGATAAAGTCTGCTTTGGCTAACTGGAGAACAGGACTGTTTGGTTTTGAGTGGATCACCTGAACCTGTGAGTCATAAAAGCTGACGACTCATATCTGTGCAGGGCTTCTGCATCCTTGATCTGCTCTCTTTCGTGGTCTAGTGGTAGATAATTTTTTTTTCAAATGCCTGCAAGGAACTTCACCTTGATTGATGTGCTGAAGAGTGATGGCAGCAAGAGTAGAGGAGTTGAAATGGAAGACCCTTATGGCATTAGTTGTGTGTGGGCTGTGTAGGAGGTCTACCTCTAAATCAGGTTAGTGTAAAGAGGATTGGGGAGCAGGATCCAGCCTTCCTTCTCTGGCTGCTAGGCTGAGAATGTCACTGTGTAAGTCAAGGTAAGTTGAAAGCATCCTTAAAGGGTTGAAAAGTCAGCTGAGACCAGCAAGGGCAAATCTGAGGCAAATAGCACTATGAACTTTTTGTTCTACCTCAGACTTTGGCACTTTGTGCCTCATCTTGCTGATGGAGAGAGTTTGGTACATGGAAAATTGTATGCTTGTCTGAGAGCTGTAGTGCAATAACTTAAAACCAGACAGGGCTAATGGAGCATGACTGCTCCTACACTGAGGCTTGTTGTTCTAAGCTGCAGCATCTTCATCCACTCATCTGCAGAGTCAGGCACTCACAGTGTAACAGCCCTTGGCTGGCTATGAGAGGCAAAAAATAAAAAATGGAGCCAGAATCAAGCTTTTAGCTTCAAAATTTTGTGCTGTTCCTTTAGTAGAACTTGAATTCATTGTACTACAGAGATGACCTCAAACTGGGGTTTGAAATTTTCCCCTTCAACCTGTGTAGAGCAGGGACTGCCTGGGATTTGGTCAGTAGGATGCTGCCTGAGACTGGGGGCTGCTTCTGCCACCAGAGGCAGGCATGAAACTGTCTGGACCAGAGGAGGTGGTACAGCCCAGCAGCACTGCTGGAATTCTAGAACACATCAGTACCTGCTGCAGACAGACTTGTCCTGCCAAGAGAGCTGTTTCAAAGTCTTTTTTTTCCTTTTACTTGGGAGTAAACTGAGGAAGCAAGCTCATACCCTGATTATAAACTTTAGCAATCTGATTCCTCTGTCTTGTGGAGTTCACTGAACTTCTTGGCTCCTCTCTGTCTCAGTGGTTGTGAAGGGAGCTTGGGTTGTTGACTTTTTTCTTCTGCATCTTCCACCCACTGGGGTGTCTGTCTGTCCTAGACATCAGCTGAAGGTCTGCACTCTCCTCCTTGGTAAAGCACTGCGCCCTTTGCTGGGCTGGTCATCACTGCTCAATAGTGAAAACTCAGACTGCAGAAGGAATACCACTATTACCTGAGTTCCTTCCATAGGCTTAAGGCAAACATGCTTTCTTCTCATAGGATTGCCTTTTTTCCAGTTAATATGTAAAATGCTTGTAAACTAGTGTGCTAGCTTCAAAATCATCCTCTGTAAGACAGCTTTTATTACTGTATTTGTGACAGCAAGCTGCTTTCTGATCCCCCTGAAGATGGTTCAGATTCCACAGGCCTGAGCAGAAGTGAGTGGTGAATTTGGGGCATGAGTCTCAGAACAGGGCAGCATAGACAAAACAGAAGATGTGACTGAAGAGATGATGTCATGCTGGGTCTTGTGCCTGCAGTGAGAAGCTATTTCTGGATCTTTAATAGATGTCCCATAATTCCCATGGGACTTACTAAACAAAAAACTCATTGAAATGCAGCTGATGGCTCAAGTTGCCCCTGCTACCAACAGATGTGGCTGTGGAGGGCTTCGCACACTTCCTGCCTGGCAGTGTCCAGCAAGCCAGGCTGTTTCTGCTGCCAGCCAGAGCCAGTGCACTGTTTGCTGCTTCCCAGCCCCAGAAATACCCGTGCTTTGAAGAGCCTCATCAGCACTCTGCCAGCTTGTCCTCTGTGCTGTCTCCCAGCAGCACGAACAATGCCGCTGAAACAGAGGCTGAATTAATCATTTCGTGGAGCTGTTGTCAAAACAGTGCCTTGACTGCAACCCTGCCTTGCTTCTCGGAAGTGGAGCGGGGTCTGAGCACAACTGAAAGTGCTTTAATGCCCAGAGTGTGCATTCTGAGCAGAGGCAGTGTGCTGAGCTGAGTGTGCTGCTTTGCTGCAGGCTGGCTGGCAGGTGGCTCGCTGGTCCTTCAGGCTCCCCTGGAGGAGAGTGGCCTGCAGAGGCTGAGCTTGCCCCGTGCCCTCAGCTGAGGTTTGGTTGTCATGGGGAGCTTGAGCTCTTTAAGTCATGATCGCATCATGCTGGGATCTGTGCAGGTTAATCACAGCCACAGCTCGCTGGCAATCACGTCAGAGTGCCTGAATCTGGGTAAATAGGCTTAAGGCTCTATCCAGTGCCTGTGCCAAAAGCTTGGTGTTGAGGAAGTCATTTCTGGTGAGTGCAACACCTCTTCACCAGCCCTGGGGAAGCACTGGCTTTCCCAGGGACTTGTGTGTGTTGGATCTCTCCAGTTAAACTGGACCACCAGTATGTTACTGTCCCAAGGGCTGTTGGCTCAATGGAAATTGAACTTCCTCTGTAGTTGTTTTCTTATCAGGTGCTTCATGTCTGTGCAGCTTTGATTTGTGCAGGGGAAGTCCTTCAGAGGTGCTGCTTGCTGCTGTGGAAGGCTTTGAGACCAGGCTGCAAAAAGGTGGTGATAGCCAGCACGGCTGCTAGACAAGATTAATGGGCAGAGTCAATGTGTATTCCAGGGTCTGGGACCTCAGTGAAGACAGAAGCAGGATATGGGATAAACAGATAAAAAGCCAGTCATGTTGGCAGCTGTGCTGTGCACGAGTGTTCCACTGAAATCCACACTGAGGACAGAGCAGCAACACCTCAGAGCCTGTTTTTTCCACCTTACTTTGATGCTTTGTTAAACTGAGGGAAAATGGTTAGATGTAGGAAGTTTCCCTGACATCATGCCCTGAGACAGGGCAGTATTTCTGTAGCTGGGGAGTTGTTGTGGCTCATCAACCTGAGTCACAGCTGCCGTGTGCATACTTGGAGCTCGTTTTTGAGTCATGACTGCTGTGTGAGTGAATGTATGTATACATTGTGGCTGGAGGAGTCCTCCAGAGAGAGGACACTGAGAGATGACTGAAGCACTTTGTGAAAGGAGCTTGCTGTGCTTCTCAGTGGCACTAAAGTTTTATTTTCAGAACTTCAATGCTGATTTGGGATTTGGAATATTGATATTGCTGAAGAGGCACAAAATTCAGCCCTTCAGTCCAAGGAGGATGAGTGATGTATCCTGGTGTGGACTTTGCAGTCTTGTATAGAGCTACCACAGTCAAGCAAAGCTTTCCCCCAAACCAGTAACTTAATTTGGAAAGATGTCATTGCTTTAGTCTCCCTGTAATACAATTTAAATAGTTTTCAGCCCCATGGGAGGGGAGACAGGCATTTTAACTATGGGTGTTGGTATGGAGCACACATGTGGAAGTTGTTTTGGATTTACAAGTGTCACTTGGATTATGGTAGTGCTGAGCTAATCTTCTAAATTGCCTGACATCTTTGCTGCTTTTGGTGTTTCTCCATCCCTGTGAATGCTGAGAGAGGGTATGAGCCTCCCCAGGGCGATGAAAACTTTCCATTCTTGTTGCCAAGACTTCATCCGAGGATGGTAGAGCTAGATCATCTGAAACAGAGGCAAACATGATCGTCCTAAAATCATTTCAAGCTTTTGTTTCAAATTCTGCTTTTCCCTGCCCTTTCCAGCTGCAAGGCAAGGGTTTGGTTGATTTGTGTGTGATCTGGATAAGTTCATGAGGAGAGCAGTTCCCAGACAGAAATCCAGAAGGGCCTGTAAAAACCAGTCTTGCTGTTAGCAAGAAGCTGTGTTGAGTGGTGTAAGAAATAACATGCATGTCCTCTGTGGATTTAGAGGTGTTGGATGTGTCTCTCCACGGCCAGAATTTGGGGCTCAGCTACAGGGGAGGCTCTGTGTGGAAGCAGTTGCAGCCCCTTGTGCTGTATCATGCAAGTGAAGGGGTGGAAGATGCCTTTGAGTTGCTGTAAATTTGCTTTTAGGCAGCCATCACAACCAGTTGCTTGTCACTTGTCCCCCATCAAGTGACCAGGTCTGCCAGGGGAAGGTGTCTGCCTCAGCTGTGTGCAAGGTGGCTCCCTGTCATGCACCAGAGGGAGAAGCTAACCCATAGCTCCTGCCCTCTTTGTGGGATGGGAGGTGCAGAGCCTTCCTCCCACATCCCTGGGCAGGATAACAGGAGCAGAAAGGCTTGGAGGCAGGTGCTGCTGTCCTGGCTGCTGTGCCACAGAGTGCAGAGCTCCCAGGTCAGAGCTGAGCTGTGCAATTCCCAGTGTGGAGCTTGCTGTAAATTAGGGAGGTTTCTTTCTCCCCATTGTCTAAATCTGGAGTGGGACCAGATAAGGCCTGTGGACAAATGGATAAGGCCTATGGAACCAACAAATGTAGCTTGGCCCTACTGGAGCAGGACAGAGAGAGCAGGTGCTTGCTTATCTTTTTCTGTGAGGAGGAGGGGGGGAGGCTGGTTGGGTTAACCTTCTCACTTGGCTTCCCCAGATGTACAGTTAAGTCTCAAACCCTTTTTCCTTGGCCCCTGTGCTTGGCCTGCTGTCACCCTGCCCATCACACTGGAGGAAATCTGCCTTTCTGTGTTTTTTCCATTGACTGTCCACGCCCCTTCAAAGTGCAGTTGCAACATCTCCCTTCATGCTGCCTCAACGATTAAAAAGCATGACTTAGTGGAAAAAATCCTGACCTTCTTGGGTTCGGCCTGTCCTGCAGCTGTTTGAGATAAGATTGTGCTAGGGTTTTTTTTTTATTATTAAAAAAGCTGCACACCACATTTTGTGGATATTTGTTTGTAAGGAAATGACTACTGCTTAGTTTCTGGAAAAAAAAATCTGGCAGGCTATTTTCAAAGAAATTGCTCCAATTTGACCTAATGTGCTTAAAATAATAGCAGTCGAAGGTTAGTTTAATTATTATACTGCTATTTTTCTTCCATAGGGGGCTATTTTCATGACATTATCAGCTTATGTAACCTCTTGAACCACACTTTTTTTTCCATTGCAGCCTTCTAAACCATGTAATGTCAAGAGTATTTTTTTTCCTGATCCTGGGTTTAGATAACTTGATGCTTAAGAGCCACTGACTGTACTTTCAGTAATGCACTGTGTGCCTGAAACTGATTTTGTTTGGCCAAGCAGAAGCCACAAAGTTCCAAGAAACAGTTGCTATCTCACTGGTGCTGGGAGTGACTAATAGCAAGTAGCTCACGCTGCAGTGCCCAGGTTGATGTGGCTGTGTTCAAGGGACCTCAGCTGCTCTTGTGCACCTGAAAAACATGGATGGTGGGAGCTGGAGTCTTGCACCACTGTCCCCAGGACCGGATGATCATGTACAAACAGCCCCTGATTTGTGCATTTCTCTCTGTTCCCTTGCCTGAATTTGTGTTAGGTAGCAGCCCAATGGCTTTCCCAATCTGATTGGCACAAAGCTTTGGGTGTGAAGGAAAAATGAGGCTGAACAGTGGAAGACTGAGTATTGCCAAGGAGGTGATGCTGTAGCTAATAGTTGCTAGGCTGAAGGAGGGGCTGATAGGATGTTGTTTCACTTCTTGTGGCCTGGACTTCCAAGGTGGTGAGTACCCAGATGATTGGCACAAGGAGAATGAGGCTTCATGGTTAATGCTCAGGGCTCCTGGATGGGGAGCCTGCTTTTGTAACTGGAACCACAGAGATCAAAGCAGATGAGATCTTGCTCTCAGACTGAGGCCAAGGCTGGCAGTGCTGCTCCCTGCAAGGATGTTCTTGTAACTCACTGGAACGCAGGTGACGTTCAAAGAAAAGTACAGCCACATGACTTCTTACCTGGCCTACAACCTCAAAGGGAAAATGCACTTTGTCATTTTCTTCTTTGGGGTGTTTAAATGCAACTCTGATGTGAAATGGACACTGATAAAATTGTTTGAAATAGCAGGTGGTGGTTGTTTAATCTTCTGCCTACTAACCATGAGGTTTGATGTAGCAAGTGCATTTTATCACCCAGCAGTGATAACCTTTTTATCACCCATCCAGTTCCCTTCTGGATGAGCTGGGGTTTGAAGGTGTTCCCCCAGCAGGTTACCCACAAGTAACACAACCTTTTCTGTTCATATTGCAATCTAGTCATGCAAAGCTGCTGCTAACACTTCACCAGCAGGTTTTTTTTTCCCTTTACTCACACTTTGCCTCAGTTCCTAGGAGGATCAAAGTATGCATCACTGGCATTAGCAGTGAGTATGGGCCCTGGTGCTGCTGCTCTGCACAAGCTTGTGCATCCACGTGGCAAACAGCGGGTGGGAGGGAATGGGAAAGGTGCACATTGAGGGGCTGGAAATCCAGGAGTCCTTGTATTCACTGCATGAGAAATACAGTGCATAACTGCTGGCTATGCCACAGGTACCCCTTTTCTGAAGAAATGCAGTCTAGTCCCCAGCCCTTCCATAAAATGAGTGTCCTGCTGAGTTTCACTGCTGCTGTGTGGTAGCTGTAGCGTGCAGAATACTGCCAGAATTATCTCTAAAATGCAGCTGAGCTATTTCAGGCTGGCACTGTGATACCAGACACAGGCCCTTGCTGCAAGGGTCTGGGCTGTGCTAGCCCTGGGTTGCCATGAGCCTCCTGCCTCCCAGCAGCAGAGCCTGGAGAACAAGCCTCTTCTGATGTGCAGCCTGACCAGCAGCAGGAAATGAGATCTCAGATTCTCTGATGGAAACAGCTCTGTGTGCAGACTGAAGAGCATTAATGCAAAAAGCAGGGGTGGAGGGGGAGTGAGGTATTTGGATAAATATCCAAAAGGGCAGGTGCCTATTTGCTGAGCGCTATCCAAGCAAGCGCGTGCTTCGGGAGCCTCTTGGGCAGGGCTCATTTCCATTACTTGGAGACTGGAAAAGGTTATTGACAACTTCAGGAGTGTTCCTATCGCTCAATGGTTGACTCTGTGTCCAGACTAGTCTGCCCTGGAGACCTGAATGTCTAGAGCTGGGTTTTTGGCCGAGCCTGTGCGAGTGCAGCCCCTCTGACAGCCTGTTCCTTGGCTCTTTCAGATCTTCCCCGACCCCTCGGACTTTGATCGCTACTGTAAGCTGAAGGACCGCCTGCCCTCCATCGTGGTGGAGCCCACGGAGGGCGACGTGGAGAGCGGCGAGCTCAGATGGCCGCCCGAAGAGTTCCTCGTGCAGGAGGAGGACGAGGAGGAGGAGGAGGAGGAAAACTGTGAAGACGCAAAGAAGGACAGCAAGGAGCAATAAATGGCGTCTGAGGAAAGGCAAGGGACTGCACCCTTCTGAAGGAAGAGCCACACTTTCTTTGAAAGTCTTTTTAATAAGACAAGTTCAATTTTGCACCTGCGAGATCTTAGTTTTTTTGTATTCTCTGTATTGAGAACTGAAGCCCTCGGTGTCACCAGACCTCCTGAGGAAGGAAGGAAGTAACGCAGAGAAATGTTTGCTGTTCTCGAGATCATTATCTGTATTTTTCCGAGGCGGAGGCAGCAGTGAAATTCCAAGCACATGGCAGAGGGTGACCACACGAGGACTGCTGGAAGGGGGAGCTCGGGAAGGGGGAGGAAAGTTGGAGGTGGCAGCGTTTGGCTGGGAGCTGCCTCTGGCTAAAAGCATGAGAACAGAGCCAAAATATCTCAGATTTGCCTTTCTTACAGCTTCCATTTTGTGTGCTGGGGGGTGGAAGGGTGTCCATAGCGAAGCATGGCTAACTGATCTAGTGACAAGGGGCCTGTAGCTCTCCCTGGTTCGGCACCTCCTAGGGTAAGGTGAGCGTCCATAGGAGTAGTCTGGTTTCTTGCTCTCGCTGTTGAGCCTGTTTTCCAGCCACTTTCCCCAAAGTTACTTTGTCCCCCTGTTTGCCTTTAGACTCTTCAATGCTGAGCAGCTGTATTTGCAGGATAGCATTAGGCTGCTGCTTGTCATCTCTCCTGCAACGCCCTAGCTTATCTTGCAGGTGGTGAGCATGAGGTGGTGTGCATCGGATGTAAAAAGGTGCTTCTGTCTGCAGCAAGAGCTCATGTAGGTTTGAACACCTCAGATTTTTCTCTCCTATTTGCTGAGGCTGCTGTGGGTGGTCTCCTCTTGTACAGTGCCCCAAGCCTAAGGGTGGAGATTCATGCCTCCTTGCCTTGGTGTCCTTGCAGTTGTAGGGTTTTGTGTCTCTTAACTTGCTGGTCAATGGGCTTGAGAGGGCTGGGGTGGGGGGGTTCTCCTCCAGCTCTGCACTGCAGGGCCTCCTCAGTGCAGGACAGGTGGGAGTGTTGGGAGGGGGGCTGCCAGACCTGGGGGTCATCCAAAGACAAAACACCAGATCTAGTGTGGATCACCAGTGGGGTTTGCAGGATGGGGTCTGCTGGGAGAGACCATGCCTGGGTGTCTTGAGACAAGATGCATTCCTGCTTCTTAGTGAGGGTGAAAAGTCCGTGGTTGTTTTAATGAAGTGCAGACTGGCTTGTGAGGTCTGGGTTTGTCGTCTCTTCACCATATCCTGCCTCAAGGAGAAGGCCAGTCTGCTGCCAGACAAAGGAACCTGCTGCTTTCCTGGAAACAAGGGATGGTCTTGCAGCTTTGGGGACCAGCCTAGGAGCCAGTCAGTCTTGGGATAGGATGAGAGCAGGTACCACCTAAACCAAATCTGGGGTCATGGAAGAGAAAAAGAAATGTCAAGGCCTTAACCAAACTTCCATAATAATCCCAATGCCACCCCCCTTTGCTTATAACTGGTTCCATTTTTAAAATCTATTTGGACATGTGTGTATTTGTATTTTTAATACCTCATGAGTAGTTAAATGCTGGTGGGGTTTGGGAACTGCTTTTAACGTATTGGCAGGATTGTTTTAGTCTTGTCTTGCTTGTGTTTCAACATAATGGCAATAATTTATCAGCTGTGTAACTCTTTTTGGACAGATGGGGGTTTGGAGATGAGTTAGCACAAAGCAGGAGAAATTCAGTGTTCCTACACTGCAGCTGGCCTCTGGTCCAGCCACGCAGACCCAGTCAGATACTCCCTGCCCACCTTGGATGGGTGATCACTGAACAGCCATGATGTGGTGATACCATTTTCTCTAGCAATGGATTCAGCTGTTGTGTCTGTAACACTTGTTCTAGTCTTGCTGTCTTACTGGAGTGAGCTTGTACACCTGCATACCAGCCAGTTGTCTTATTTCTAAGTGTTACTCTCTATTGGTCTCTACCATCTGTACCACCAAGTCAAAGCTCTATATCAAAGATATTACCATGTGGGCAGCAGTGAGATGGCAATCCTTGGACTTCAGACCTGCTGTCTGCCCTAAAGACTTGCATATTTCTGTCTGCATCCTTTTTTTGGAAGTATTGTGTATATTTCTATTTGTTGTTGAACGTATCTAAAGAACAAAGCACTCCAGTAAAACTCCTGTTGTATGATATACATTCTATATTTCTGTAATTCTTTTTTGAGCCTCAGGGAGAAGCTAGCATTTTTTTCAAACTACATTTTTGTCACTGTGACAGTTGTAAATAAAGTTTGAAAATGCTTTCCAAACGTACTGGCTTTGTTTTTGCTGCTGAAGCGGGTTGGGATGGTCAACCTTCCAGATCATGCCTGTCAGCTGAGCCTGGAGATGCTGGTGGCTGGCCTCAGATCATGCCCTATGGCATTGGAAACCTAAGTCAACTTTGAGGGGGCAGCACCTTTGCCTTTCATCTTCCTGTGGTTGCCCATTGCTGTGTGAAAGGCTGCAGCAAACTGCTGCTCTGGTTTATTTATTCCTGAAAAAGAAATCTGTATGTATATCTGTCATCTACATCTACCCCCTTTTACCTAACCTTGCAGAGCATGAAGTAATGGAGAGTGGAAACTATTCACAGCTGCTGTTAGTCATGTTCCCTGTGCATGCTCTTCCCTGCCCTGAGCAGCACTCATGAAGACAAGCCTTGCCTTGCTGTGTGCCTGTAGGGTCCCAGCTGAGCTACCCAGGGGTGTCTGTGTTGGCCATTCTGGGTCCAGAGGTCAGCTCTGCCTGGATACCTGTCTTGGCACTCACCAGTGGCCACGTGCTGCAGTTTGTGGTGCTGCTGGGGAAAATGCCATTTCTGAGTGTGACTCTGAGCTGCTCTGGTACCGAGGCACTGTTCTGGCTGTAGGAGTCTGACCACGCCAGGATTCAGTAATTCAAGCTGTGTACTTTATGGGATTAAATTTTCCACTAAAACCTGGTGATAAGAAGCAAATACCCTGGAATACCCATATCTTTAAGGTACATGGATAGAAGTTCCTGTGATTTGGCAGCTAACACTCTAATCTAACCTAGGCAAACAAGCCCAGCTGAGGCTGGAGTGTTGTGTTTACATGAGACTAGTTTAAATACACTAACTAATGACCCTTCCATTTAATGCTTGAACTGAGGGCATGCTCAGTGTGAGCCCCACAGTTCCAAGATGAATTGTATCCTGCTCAACCCTCATGGATATTTTATGCCATGGGAACAAATGCAATATTAAAGCTGACCTCTCCTTTTCTTCAGTCAACCTCTAGCAGAGGTGCTTTGATGTCTTCCTTTCCTCAGGCACAGTTGCTTGCCTTGTAGAAGCTGCTACGAGACAACCAGATGTGCTGGTCTGAAATCAGCAAAGATGTTTATTCTTGACCCAGAACGTTTTTGTTCAAAATACAGCACTGGTTAGGGAAACTGCAAACACATTGAACTTGTCTGCTGCTTCCACGTGCTGCACACCAGCAGGTTTTTCAGGCTCACATCAGAATGAATTCTGGTATATCATCCTGTTTTGGGGTAAGACCAGAAGGCCTGGCCCCTGAGTGGGGCTTGCTCAGCCAGGGGGTCTGCCTTGTATCAGCCTGGAGCAGTGCTGGTGGGAAGGAGGCTCTTTCCTGCTCCTTGACTCCAACTATTGTGGCCAAACTGGAGCTTGGATCACCAAAGGAAAATGGGGCTTGTGCTGAATGGGTGAGGCTTAGTCATCCCAAAGAAGAATAATGGGTGGCATAAGGACCTTTCTTTGCACACAGAACAATGTTTCTCCTGGATCACATTTAAGCCTGAGGCATTTGTCCTCCTCAAGCTTTGCCCTGTAGCTGAAACTGATGACACAGCAAGCTGTGCTCTGCTGTCCTGCTTAGTTCAGCCTGTGCTCACTCTCCCAGATATTTCATTTGTAGTGTTCAGTCAGTGTGCACCCACTTCTGTTCACCTTCACCAAGCCCACAGTCTCTTGAACCTCTGCACATGAACTGCTGGCATCCCACTTTGCCTACATTTGGGTGCAGACAGGAAAAATTACTGCTCTGTGGGAGTGCAAAGATAATTCACCAGCACTGCATGTGGGGAGCAGCCACTCCTAAGATACAGGTCCCCTTGTGCAGGCTGAAATTGTGCTCTGGTGTAACCAGTCTCGTTATCATTGCAAGGAACAGGAGAAGCTGAATTTTCTTTCAGGTGAGCTGTCTCCTTCCAATTTTAATCCTAGCAGGAAGTTCCCAGCCTATGAGGACGTGGAGCTTTCATCCTTGTGATGCTGATCTGCTTTAAGATGCCTTGAAGCACAATCAAAACTAAAACAAAATCCTCCAAGTCTACTAACCTGGAACAAACCAGGGGATGTGAGGAGCAACAGCCTGTAATGTACATGCTCTGAGCTCTCAAAAAGCAATCCTGAGCACCATACATCTCTGTATAAACAAGAGGAATTGCTATCCCTAAATCCTTACTGATGAGAAAAGCCCTGGGTGTTTCATGGTCCAAGGGATGCATTTCTGCTTATGTTTGGCAGCACAAATCTGTGTCTGGATGTGAGAGGAGCACAGCAGAGTTTAGTTATGCACCTGCCTGGTGTCCCCACGGTCAGCAGGTTCCGTGTCAATGTCTCTGCAGCAGGAAGGCAGCGTGGGGGACATCCTTGATGCATGGTGGCCCATCCAGGCTTTCCTGGAGGCCAGCAGTGTCAGTAGCACAGTGTCATTGGCTTTGAGCCACTTGGGTTAAAAATTGTCACTTTCTGCAGCCCCAGTGATCACCCACCTGCAGAAAGGGCTGTGCAAGCCTGGCTGGAGAGCAGCTCTGCTGAGCTAAGCTCAAATCCATCCTCACACAAATGAAGGTTTATGAGGGCTGGTTTTAGGAGTGGGAGGGAAGAGGCTTCATGCCCATCACCTAGGGAGGAACTGAGTGCAGAGAAACCTGCTTCACCCAGGAAATGCCTGGGACTGGTGGGAGCATTGTGTGTGTTTATGTGATGATGAGTAGGGATGGAGAGAACAGGAGCTGCTGCAAAGGAAGGGAGGGCACCGTGGGTGGGGGTGTGAGGTGTGATAGTGGAGAGCTGCTCTGCCAAAGCTCCTTGTGGCTCCATGGTTTGGTGCCTGAAGGACTGGAAATGCAGCCAGGACATTCCCTGGGGCACACACTGACCTCTGCAGCTCCCACCTTTTGCTCAGTGGAAGTTCACCTGGAGGAAAAGACGTGTGGGGCTCGACTGTGTCATGCTGTGCTGATGGCCCCAGCATGAGCCAAAAGCTTGGGGTGGCAGGCTGGGGCACTTTGGGTGCTGGGACTGGAGACAGACCAGCTGGGAAGAGATTCCTTTCTTCTCTGGTCTCACCTTCCCTATAATGGCTAAAAGGGGAAGGATTGGGGTCAAAGCAAGAGAAGTTAAATTTTTTGGTTTTTGTTTCAAATCAGACCTTTTCCTGTTGATGAAGAGCTTTTTCTCCCACACCAAGTTACCAACTCTGTGAAAGTTGTCTTGTGCTTTATCCACGTTAAAACAGAAACCCCCAGCCCCAGGCTTGGGGTCAGTGACCTGTACCTTTCCCACCCAAGAGAGAACAGACAGGACAAGGGAGCAGAGCCTGGAGGGGTGAACCTCCACCCACCACAACAGGCAGCTGAGGCATAACAAAGTCAAACGCAGTGTTCTGAGAGCCCTGAGGGGTGGGAAGAGTGCACAAGCCGCAAAGGAAGCATGCACTGAGCACTCGGTGGCTGCCGGAGCTGTAACCACACAGGGTTACCGTAGCAGCGACCATCAGCTTCATCTGATAAAAATAAGCAAGGAAGTCAAGTGTATGAGAGGGAGAGGATGTCAGAAGCCAAGCATGAAAATGTCACTGCAGCTCTGCTTTCATTTTCAGCGCTTCCTTCTTTATTCTGCCCTCAGCCAGTCCAGGAGCCCAGGTATTTCCTGCCCTCTCTGTGCCAGAGTGTGTCCTGCCTCTGTCCCAAACATCCCCTGGCCCAGGGGTGCTCCTGGCCACATGCTGTGTGCTCAGTGCCCTGCCACAGATGCTGGGAGCCTCATGCACACAGCCTGCATCTCTGCTGCAAGCTGCAGGGATGGAGCAGCAGGCAGAGCCTTGTCCAGCTGCAGCCAGGCAGCTCCCCACCTCCTCCAGGGTCACACTGGCTGCTGCCTTTGGCTCTGGACTGCAAGGGTGAGGATCAGCACAAGGGGAAACACGGAAATACAATCCCAGTGTGGTCACTGCCATGCAGCAGCCTGCTCCTGCTGTTCTGCACGCTGAGACCAGCTCAGCTGGGGTGAGGAGGTGCCTCAGGTTTGTGCCTTTCTCCAGCTGTGCCAGGGCAGGGAACAAGGGTGGCTGTACTGCAGGGGTTTGAGCTCTTCCCCACAGGTTCTCTGCATTCAGAGCTATGAGCCAGGCAGGTTACAATCAGCTCAACAAATATTTGTCAAGCACGAGCCTTCCTGAGCACTGTTTGACAACTCTTTTCCACTGCAGCTGTTGCCAGCGCTGCCAAGCCTGCCGTGGGTGCTGCCTGCGGGGTGAGGACTGACCCCTGCTGCCACTGGAGCTGCAGCCACACTTCCCTGCTTAAAACCTGCTTTGTGGCCAGGTGACAACAATGCTGGGTCCCCTGGCGTGGAGGGGAACTGGCTGAAGGTGGCTGCTGGGGCAAGCAGCAGAGGTGGAGCTGCTTTCCATGTTCCCTTAGGTGGGAAAAGCCTTTCCAGTGTGCCAAGGATGCTCTGTGTGTGTGTGTGTGTGTGTGTCTGTGTCTGTGTTTCTGTGTCTCTGTGTGTCTGTGTCTCTGTGTGTCTGTGTGTGTGCAGGTGGGATATTTGCCTCTCAGTGCCCTGCCCTGCTCCAGTGCCCACAGTTTGCTTCACCCTCTGCTCAGCCTCCTGAGTAATTGGCACATTCTGCCATAGATTGGGTGGGTTTCATTCAGTTGCTGGGATTTGGGATCCTTCACAAGGGGGGAAGGAGAGGCAGCTTTAGAGCAGGGTCTCCTGCATGAGCTTGCTCTGAGAGCAGGACCAGGGGAACTTTGCAGGGGCTCTTCAGTCCCTGCCAGGCTCAGCAGATCCTGCTGGGGCCATTATCCCCTGCACTCAAGGACAAAGGGATTTTGTAGTGGGCAGTCTCATGACCTGTCTCTATCCATGGGGCTCTCAGCTGACCTGAAATGGGATTTGCCCAAATCTGCAGCACTTGGATGTGGATTCCTGGCTGGGACTGCTGTGGGTGCCTCTGTGTGGAAGAGGGAAGAGCCTGTGGGCATTCAGA